GTTTCAGCTTCACTATTGGACCGTTGAAGATTTCATTTGTGATCAGCTGTTTATTCCCATTGGATATCAGAAGAAAGGGTTGTATTAATGGATACGTTTCCGTTGTTAATTAACTGGCTATATTTATATTCATAAATTTATTACATAATGCATTTCCAAAATATATATGTCACAGAGATCAGTTACATAGTTATATGCACATAGCATTATACTGTGTTAGAGGGTTGTTGAATAAGGTGAAATATCACATAGTGATGGTAGTGAAATGTATGTCGATATGACCCATATCCTCTCAGTGCTTTATATATCCTGACTTTCCTTAAGTACTACTTAAGTTGGTATTCAGATAACACCCTCTCCAATCGTCTTCTGATGACCATTAAAGTTCCTGGATATTGTGGGTTTTTGGAAAAGATTTCATTGACAGGACTAAGGTTTTCGAGATAATGTGAAAAGCTATGTATATTGTTCATATAAGGGTGGAATATATATATGTATACTAGTGAAAGGTGGAGTTATATACAATCGTTAATGCACTGGTTAACTGTGATAAAATTTCCTTCTGTTGAAGCATTCACTTCTCACTTTGTATAATTAAGATAGGTTTTCATCATTATGTAAGTGATAATTGTTTTGTTTGATTATTATAAGGACTTTGTATGCATGTTTGAACATGCTGATTTTTTTTAAAGTTTATTTATAACCAAGTTGTAGAAGTTTTTAGAAAAACATTTTGTTTGAGGCAAGAATGTGGGACTTGTTCAGACTATTTTAATGACACACTAATTATAACTGTCTGGTTAATGGATTAAAATATACATGCCCAAGATAACTGTTGAAGAAGCTATGTAGGTTTTGACAGGACAGTAGTGAAGCAGGTACTACATTGTGGACATGTCGATCGTCATGTAAGTTGACGATTGTAATGTGCAGTCATGTTGGCTTTAGTCCCATGACTAAATATATGGACAAGCTGTCTGTGCCATAAGATTTTTAATCTACTGCTCCAAACTTGGCTGTTAGTTTCATTTGTTGTACGTACCTGTCCTATTGTATGGTCTATGTATTGACTGACCTGAATTAAACTAGACTTGGGCTTTGGACCAGTGGCTAGCGTTCCAGGCGAAGCAAGGACATTATTTTGTGTCTGAATATGGATGTGTTCTAGTGACAGAATTGATTGTGAATGATAATTCTGATGGACAATACAGACGTGGAAGTCATGTATGTTTGAGAAAACGAACAGTTTTACTCGTGCTTTTGATTGAACTATGAAGCGTGTGTCAACAACTAGTATGTCTGGCCCTGGCATTGACCAGGATTACCTCAGTGTGGTACCTAACTTCCATGACAAAGAGAATCCTGATGGTGAGTACTCTCCCCAGGGAGTTGTGAATGAGATCAGTGTTTCATTCCTGTGTGTGGAAATATATGTACAGAAACAAATGGACTGATATTCTCCTTGTAATTTCCTGATATTGTTGGGGTGGTTGGGTAGCCTAGTGGTTAAAGCGTCCGCCGTCCCGCCGAAGACCCGGGTTCAAATCCCCACATGGGCACAATGTGTGAAGCCTATTTCTGGTGGCCCCTGCAGTGATATTGCTGGAATATTGCTAAAAGCGGCGTAAAATCATACTCACTCACTCACTCACTCCTGATATTGTTGTTTCTTATTTATCAAAGCAATTCTCTGCTGTGAGTACTGAACCAGCTGAATGAAGGTTGTGTGAAAATAATCGAATCTAGACCAGACAATCCAGTGAACATGAGCATTGATCTGTGAAATTTGGATACAATGACATGCATGTACAAAGTCAGAGAGCCTGACAAGCAGATCCACTGAGTTGTCTTTACTACTAGCATATACCCTTGAAGGTCCCGGGTTAGAATTGGTCTTCAGTAACCCATGCTTGTCGTAAAAGGCGACTATGCTTGTCATAAGAGGCGACTAACGGGATCGGGTGGTCAGGCTCGCTGACTTGGTTGACACATGTCATCGGTTCCCAATTGCGCAGATTGATGCTCATGCTGTTGATCACTGGATTGTCTGGTCCAGACTCGATTATTTACAGACCGCTGCCATATAGCTGGAATATTGCTGAGTGCCGCGTAAAACTAAACTCACTCACTCATCACAAATCCTATCCCAGGGGCCACTTGCACAGAGCAATTTTAGCCCAATGCCGATCGTAACATGGACCAAAGAAAATCATGGAGCTAAGATCTCTTTGTGCAAGTGGGCCCAGATCTTCAGAATTTTAAAGTTGTTGAAAAAAATAATAGCTAATTAAAAAGGAAAGAAAGCATTTCAACATTTCTCCAAACAAATTTGATATTTTCCTAATCACCTGGATCAAACTGTTAAGGTGTTGCGGATTGCTTTGTGTGAGAGATTGGTATTTTCAATATTTCATCATGTTTATCGGGATTTTCTTGTCTCATCTATCATATCTGTCCAACCTTAATTATGTTCTTTTTATCAGAAAAGTCCTTTATTATATTCATTGAATTAATGGGTTTGGTAGTATTTAGTACGTTGTATCTCTAAGTTAAAGGTTTTGCATGTTACAGCCAGCCATGTAAAGGTCACAATTGTCGTGTTTCTGTTCTATTAAAGTTTCAATTTCTCCTCTTAATCCTCATCATATATAAAAATGCAAATTGTATGGATAATCCAAACAATAATCTAATAATCCTCATGGAATTCCAGTCTGGATTAAAACATGCCTGCTCCATTAGTTTCACATCATTTGCTAAAATTGTGAATTTGGTTTGCCTCATCGTTTAAGGTTCCGACATATTGTGAATCTGCATGCCTAATTGGTAACGACAAGAATGTCTTTAAGGCCACTCAGCCTTTGTGTACATTATGTCAATAGGCTGTTGGTTCCGCTGGAGCTTTTGTGTGTCTGATGATACAACTTATTTCTGTGTCCATTAACATCAGAGCCAGCCCAGGTCAGGTAGCCTGCCATAATGGCAGACACGCACACACTGACATACTGCATAAAGGTCAGGCAAGTCACTTAGGTACATTGTGACCAAATATTTGGTGTGGCATGTGACATATTCATTTGAAAAGGGTTATGTGTTTGTGTTGAGGGTTAACAGTTCTGACTGATGATGATGGGTGTTACTGATGGCCTGGTGAAAAGTACCCAGAAAGGTCTTCCTGTGATTGTGAAGTTGAGGTGTGAGTCGTTGTTAGACCTCTGACTTCTGATGGCAGAATTAGTCCCCGTACCCTACACTTGTCTTTCTGAGGGTATTTTGGGTCAGACTAGCATGTGACAGGGCATAACAGTGTGATATTACATGATGACATGTTGATGTGGCATAATGTATGACAAGGTGTCATTGTGATGTCATGTGACAGGGCATAACAATGTGATATTACATGATGACATGGTGATGTGGCATAATGTATGACAAGGTGTCATTGTGATGTCATGTGACAGGGCATAACAGTGTGATATTACATGATGACATATTGATGTGGCAAAATGTATAACAAGGTGTCATTGTGATGTCGTGACAGGGCATAACAATGTGTTATTATATGATGACATGTTGATGTGGCATAATATATGACAGTGTGTCATTGTGATGTCATGTGACAGGGCATAACAATGTGTTATTACATGATACATATAGATGTGGCATAATATATGACAAGGTGTCATTGTGATGTCATGTGACGGCATAACAATGTGTTATTATATGATGACATGTTGATGTGGCATAATATATGACAGTGTGTGATTGTGATGTCGTGTGACAGGGCATAACAATGTGTTAGTATATGATGACATGTTGATGTGGCATATTATATGACAGTGTGTCATTGTGATGTCGTGTGACAGGGCATAACAATGTGATATTATATGATGACATGTTGATGTGGCATAATGTATGACAAGGTGTCATTGTGATGTCATGTGACGGCATAACAATGTGTTATTATATGATGACATGTTGATGTGGCATAATATATGACAGTGTGTCATTGTGATGTCATGTGACAGGGCATAACAATGTGTTATTATATGATGACATGTTGATGTGGCATAATATATGACAGTGTGTCATTGTGATGTCATGTGACAGGGCATAACAATGTGTTATTACATGATACATATAGATGTGGCATAATATATGACAAGGTGTCATTGTGATGTCATGTGACAGGGCATAACAATGTGTTATTATATGATGACATGTTGATGTGGCATAATATATGACAGTGTGTCATTGTGATGTCATGTGACAGGGCATAACAATGTGTTATTATATGATGACATGTTGATGTGGCATAATATATGACAGTGTGTCATTGTGATGTCATGTGACAGGGCATAACAATGTGTTATTACATGATACATATAGATGTGGCATAATATATGACAAGGTGTCATTGTGATGTCATGTGACAGGGCATAACAATGTGTTATTACATGATGACCTATTGATGTGGCATAATATGACAAGGTGTCATTGTGATGTCATGTGACAGGGCATAACAATGTGATATTACATGATGACATGTTAATATGGAAAAATGTATGACAAGGTGTCATTGTGATGTCGTGTGACATGGCATAACAATGTGATATTACATGATGACATGTTAATATGGAAAAATGTATGACAAAGTGTCATTGTGATGTCATGTGACAGGGCAGAACAGTGTGTTATAACCAGATGACATGTTGATATGGCAAAATGTATGACAAGGTGCCATGTGACATGGCATAACAATGTGACATTACATGATGATATTACATGAACGACTTGAGTACAAAGTTGACAATGTAGAAGTAGAAAATCCTACTCATTTCAACGATGTGCAGACCTACCATGTCTATCATTTGCTTAATTCGTGTTGTTTTTCCTTATTCTGTCAATACTATTTGATTATTACTGAGCAAAGTGACACAACTTCTCTCAGTCCGTGTGTATGTGGGTTTCCTCTCGTGAATTCAAATGTATCTGTTTTTTAGGATCGGCCAACCTCATGGACACATTGGATGACCTCCCTGTGGGGATTGGTCAGTATGACGACTTTCACACCATTGACTGGTTGCGGGACATCGCCCGCGATCGCATGCGACACCGACATATTATCAAGAAGAAACAAGAGGGATGCTGGGAAAAAGTGAAGGGTGCTCATGACGCGTGGTCAGGATGGGTCTGCGTACTTCTTGTTGGAGTCTCAGCCGGTACGTGCTCATATGTTTGTGGAGAGTTTCTAACGTGCTAGTAACGTAATCGTAACTAAAATACTTTGATATAGGTTTACAGTATTCTTAGCACTGGCTCCTGTCCCATTTGGCTTTATTTGTATCCCTTTAGCTTGTATTAGCGCATAGTGACTATGTAGTTCGTTATATATTTATAAATAAGCTTATTGTTGCTTTAAGATATGTTTGTTGATCAGTATTGAGTATTAAGTAGCATCTCTTACCTATGATCCGTGGTTCGAATCCCATATTTGTGCTTATCATGATGGCAGGTTTGTCATCACCATAATCCATGGTCATTGGTTTCCGTGAGTGAGTGAGTTTAGTTTTAAGCCGCTTTTAGCAATATTCGAGCAATATCACGGCGGGGACAACAGAAATGGGCTTCACACATTGTACCCATGTGAGGAATCGAACACAGGTCTTCAGCGTGGCGAACAGATGCTTTAACCAGGAATTATTTGTTCTATCAAAGTTATATATATTCAAAAATTAAGTGTCAGTCTATTCTGCACTAAAAACAGTAGGATCTTGAAGAAAATGTGTTTTTGGATTGTGCATAATTGTGACCCTTTGGTGTGCCAGGATCCTCTGTTCATGGCTACTCCCTTGTTACGATCCTTAGATTGTCATCACTAAGTTTGACTCTCGGTTACGGTGATTCCAACAAGTTCCGCCTACATGAAGCGAACACGTGGGTTAAGCAATATACTGTACAAAACAACAGTAATCCCAGCTCGCTTAGCACTAAGAAGAAACGACGGGGTCACATCCGACCAAAAAAATAGTTGGCTTAGACTCAAACTATTCTAAGCCAGATATATATGCCTGAACTTTGTCTCATGCAGAGTTTTACAATCTAATGGTGTTCCACATGAAATCTTTACATCCATCAGCTGATGCTGTTTGGCTGAAGTAATGGCGATACAACGCTAAGTTTGAACTCGCTAACATCCATCAGGATATCTGGTTGATATGTCAAAGGTTTACAATGCACTACAGACACAGTATTTCATCAGTTGAGTTGTCTTTCATCATCTCAATGGTTTCAGTGTATTCTAAAAGGAATTATATATATTTTTAAATTGATTTTTCTATTCATGGAATGTCACTTTGGAGATGTTCCTATCAAAATAGGTTTTTAGAAGTGTATTTTTAGACATTTATATTAGTCAAACAAAATCAAAATCTTAAATATCCTAAATAATATCAAGAATGAATATTATTTTTTTTTTCATTAATTTCATAAGCTGATGTGAATATAATTAGTCCAAATATTATTAGCAGAGGAATAAGTGCTCTTCAGTTGTAAAAAAAAGTCAAGAATTATTATTTAAGAGTTTCATTTTTCATTAATTTCATAATCTGATGCTAACATAATTAATCCAAATACACATGTATTAAACAGAGGAATCCGTGCTCTTCAGTTGAAGTTTTACATGACAAAATGTAAGGGGTTTCTTCTCAGAAATAACAGCAACCTATGTGCCCTTGAAGAAGGAGCTGTTACCTTCACAAAAGCCTGACTACGGGAGGGAAAAGGTCATATGCAGCAGGCAAGGATGAGAGAGGAACCATGGTTCCATCATTAATGCTTGTGCCAAAGTTAAGCCTGGAGTAATTATGTCATAAATATTTTATATCATATGGTTACTTTGTAACCTGTTATCATGCCCAAACCGATTGTATCAGCGACTTCTTGAGGAGAAATTACTTGTTTTGATGTATTTGGTTCAATTGGAGATGTGCTTTTTCATCAACATTTGGCAGTGGGCATGGATTTATCTGGGTGAAATTAGCATATAAACTGGATGAGGTTGAGAATAGTCTGGGGCTTCTACCGTTGTGATTCTCGACAATGTGACGCCACAGTATGAATTTGTTTGGGAGCTACCATGTGATGGTAGCTGTGGTTGCTGAAGTTCTGGGATTAAGGTGTAGGTGTGCTAACATCAGTCAACAGCTGCTGATACTGTCAGGTTTTTGATTCACTGATACAAACACAAGCAATATTAAGACAAGCTTAGATTTCCCAGTTCATAATTATTTTTAGCCCATTTCTACTGTTGATATTTATACAATTCTTCATCCACATTCACCCACTCAGTGTGACCTTCCCTCTCACCTGTCTGTGTCATGTGACTTTCCCTGCTGTATGTGTAGTATGACTTTCCCACCTGTCTGTCCCTCCCAGCTGTCCTGACCCTCCCTCCCAGCTGTCTGCGTGTATGTCATGACTCCCTCCCAGCTGTCTGTGTAGTATGACCCTCCCAGCTGTCTCCTCCCAGCTGTCTGTGTAGTATGACCCTCCCTCCCAGCTGTCTGTGCCCTCCCTAGCTGTCTGTGTAGTATGACCCTCCCTCCCAGCTGTCTGTGTAGTGTGACCCTCCCTCCCAGCTGTCTGTGTAGTATGACCCTCCCTCCCAGCTGTCTGTGTAGTATGACCCCCTCCCAGCTGTCTGTGTAGTATGACCCTCCCTCCCACCTCCCTCCCAGCTGTCTGTGTAGTGACCCTCCTCCCAGCTGTCTGTGTAGTATGACCTCCTCCCAGCTGTCTGTGTAGTATGACCCTCCCTCCCAGCTGTCTGTGTAGTATGACCTCCCAGCTGTCTGTGTAGTATGACCCTCCCTCCCAGCTGTCTGTGTAGTATGTGACCCCCCTCCCAGCTGTCTCCCAGCTATGACCCTCCCAGCTGTCTGTGTGTAGTATGACCCTCCCTCCCAGCTGTCTGTGTAGTATGACCCTCCCTCCCAGCTGTCTCCCAGCTGTGTGTATGACTGTGTAGTATCCTCCCAGCTGTCGGTGTAGCTGTCTGTGTAGTATGACCTCCCTCCCAGCTGTCTGTGTAGTATGACCCTCCCAGCTGTCCCTCCCAGCTGTCTGTGTAGTATGACCCTCCCAGCTGTCTATGTAGTATGACCCTCCTGGACCCAGCTGTAGAATAGGTGTAGTATGACCATGTGCTTGCCTCCCAGCTGTCTTGTGTAGTATGACCCGGGTGGTCCTGTCCCTGGTTGACAAATGTCATCGGTTCCCTGTCTGTGTAGTATGATGGTCCTCCCAGCTGTCTGTGTAGTATGAACCCTCACCCTCCCTGTGTAGTGTGACCCTCCCTCCCAGCTGTCTGTGTAGTATCCCTCCCAGCTGTCTGTAGTGTGACCCTCCCTCCCAGCTGTCTGTGTAGTGTGACCCTCCCTCCCAGCTGTCTGTAGTATGACCCTCCCTCCCAGCTGTGTGGTATGACCCTCCCTCCCAGCTGTCTGTGTGTGACCCTCCCTCCCAGCTGTCTGTGTAGTATGACCCTCCCTCCCAGCTGTCTGTGTAGTGACCCTCCCTCCCAGCTGTCTGTCATGTGTGTCCCTCTCAGCTGTGTGACCCTGACCCTCCCAGCTGTCTGTGTAGTATGACCCTCCCTCCCAGCTGTCTGTGTGTGACCCTCCCAGCTGTCTGTGTAGTATGACCCTCCCTCCCAGCTGTCTGTGTCATGTGACCCTCCCTCCCAGCTGTCTGTGACCCTCCTCCCAGTGTCTGACCTCCCTCCCAGCTGTCTGTGTAGTATGACCCTCCCTCCCAGCTGTCTGTGTGTAGTGTGACCCTCCTCCCAGCTGTCTGTGTCTGTGTGAGTATGACCCTCCCTCCCAGCTGTCTGTGTAGTATGACCCTCCCTCCCAGCTGTCTGTGTAGTATGACCCCCTCCCAGCTGTCTGTGTAGTATGACCCTCCCTCCCAGCTGTCTGTGTGTGTATGACCCTCCCTCCCAGCTGTCTGTGTGTGTATGACCCTCCCTCCCAGCTGTCTGTGACCTCCCTCCCCAGCTGTATGACCCTCCTCCCAGCTGTCTGTGTCCCAGCTGTCTGTGTGACCCTCCTCCCAGTGTGACCCTCCCTCCCTGTCTCTGTGTATGACCCTCCCTCCCAGCTGTCTGTGTAGTGTGACCCTCCCTCCCAGCTGTCTGTGTAGTGTCTGTGTAGTATGACCCTCCCTCCCCCTCCCTCCCAGCTGTCTGTGTACCCTCCCAGCTGTGACCCTCCCTCCCAGCTGTCTGTGTAGTATGACCCTCCCTCCCAGCTGTCTGTGTGGTATGACCCTCCCTCCCAGCTGTCTGTGTAGTATGACCCTCCCCCAGCCCTGTAGTGTGACCCTCCCTCCCAGCTGTCTGTGTGTGGTATGACCCTCCCAGCTGTCTGTGTGGTATGACCTCCCTCAGCTGCTGTGTGTAGTGTGACTCCCTCCCAGCTGTCTGTGTAGTGTGACCTCCTCCCAGCTGTCTGTGTGGTATGACCCTCCCTCCCAGCTGTCTGTGTAGTGTGACCCTCCCAGCTGTCTGTGTGGTGTGACCCTCCCTCCCAGCTGTCTGTGTAGTATGACCCTCCCTCCCAGCTGTCTGTGTATGTATGACCCTCCCTCCCAGCTGTCTGTGTGGTATGACCCTCCCTCCCAGCTGTCTGTATAGTATGACCCTCCCTCCCAGCTGTCTGTGTAGTGTGACCTTCCCAGCTGTCTGTGTAGTGTGACCCTCCCTCCCAGCTGTCTGTGCCATGTGACCCTCGCTCCCAGCTGTCTGTGTAGTGTAACCCCCAAACCCCCACCCAGCTCTCTGTGCAGTATGACTCTCCCTCCCTCCCAGCTGTGTTATGTGACCCTCCCAGCTGTGTTATGTGACCCTCCCAGCTGTGTTATGTGACCCTCCCAGCTGTTTTATGTGACCCTCCCAGCTGTCTCTGTAGAGTAACCCTCCCTTATGTCTCTGTAATATGACCCTGAAAATGTCTGAAATGTCTGGGAGCAAGACCCCCTCCCAGCTCTTTGTGAGTATGTGCCCTCTCTCCCTCATTTCATATCCAGTGACTCAATTAGGCACCAAGTCAGACAGCAAAGCCATCGCACGTTGAGTAACCGAGCCACAATCAGTTCTAACAAAGCATCAAATGGCAGAAATCACAGTCTGGGAATTTGAATTTGACAGCTTGGCAAATGGCAAAGGTCTTCCTGTAAGAAAAAGGGTATTTGGTCAAAGACATGAAATGCTTCACATCTCTGGTCTCATCACAAGAAAAGATCATAAATGCTCATGTTTCATTGTTTTAGCTCACCTTATGTTTCAGCAAAATGAGCCATACTCTTACCCACATTACTGCTAGGTTTAATAATCATTTTTCTAACAATCAACAAGGCTGTGGGTTAGCCTAGTGGTAGACTAAGGCTTAGTCTCTGAATATATATAATTTGGATAGTAACAAACAAGCCCATTTATATTGAAAAGGAGCCCTAGGGAGACCAGAGATTCAGAACCTGAGGAAATCTAGACTTGCTTTATTTAGGGCTTTAGCACTGCAGAGAGGGCTAGGCAGTAGGGAAAATAATGTTGTTCAGGGACTGTGAGACAGACTAGCCTAGTGGTTAAAGCATCCACTTATCACGCCGATGACCCGGTGTAGCATGCCGTTTCTTCCCCTGTCTAAACTTTTCCCGAGGAGAATCTGGCCAGGGTCAAACTTTCCCTGGGGATGTTTTGTCCAAGGATATTCTTACCCAGGGGAAAGTTTGTCCCAGGCCAAAGTTTTCCTGGGGAAGGTTTAGCCTGGGGAAAGTTTGGCCTGTTACACTGGGTTCGATTCCCCACATGGGTACAATGTGTGAAGCCCATTCCTGGTCTCCCCTGCTGTTATATTGCTGGAATATTGCGAAAAGTGGCGTAAAACTAAACTCACTAACTCTAGCAATTAACAATGCTCCGGTGTGTTAACATTGCTGGTGCTCACAGCATCAACCACTGGGTATGATGGGAATATTGTTGACCAACAATAAATATTGAAGCTATAATGAAATGAGTGAGTAAGTATAGCTTTACGCCGCTTTTAGCAATATTCCAGCAATTTCATGGCGGGGCACACCAGAAATGGGCATCACATATTGTACTCATGTGCTTTAATCTCTAGGTTACCCCACCGCCCATAATGTAATGAGATGTGAACACTTCAGATAATAGTTAGTACCACTATCCCATCAACTGATATTATCAATGTAGTATCTGTTTGCAGACGTTTATGCTTTAGGAGCGAGTAACCATGGTAACAGGACAAATTCAAGTTTTTTCCATGAAGATTTTCTAATGTTTGTCTTTTGCCCAATACATCAACTGCCAAATGCAGGAGACACATCGGAGTAGTTACTGAAATCCTCGTTGTGGTAATGAAGTTGAAAAGACTGCAGTAATTGTGTCTCTTCAGACAAGGCAGCAGGTGTGCCATCGTCTGAGTGGGGAGTGAATGGACTGATTCAGATTATAAGACAAAATCAATAGAGTGATCATGCCTTTTGATGCCTCTTGATGCATTTTGTCTTAAACCAATTACAAGTTGTTTGATTTTGCAAGGAATTAGTCCGTAAAAAACAGTTTTCATTCTCTCTGTGTGTCATTTCTGTTGTCCCCTGCTGTGATATTGCTAAAAGTGGAGTAAAACTAGACTCACACATTCACTCACTCTCTCTCTGACTTTCTTTTTCTGGGGCGGTGGGGTAGCCTAGTGGTTTTAGTGTTCGATCGTCACGTCGAAGACCCGGGTTCGATTCTCCACATGGGTACAATGTGTGAAGCCCATTTCTGGTGTCCTCCACCGTGATATTGCTGGAATATTGCTAAAAGCAGCGTAAAACTAAACTCACCCACTTTCTTAAACTGTCTGTTTCTTTGTCTCTCTTTTTCTGTCTCTCCCATCTCTTTTCTCTTTCTCCCACTCAATCACTCACTAACTCACAGGAATGCCTGCATTAGTATTGAACTGCAATCCCATTTGTATAATTAGCTAGGGGGCGGTGGGGTAGCCTAATGGTTAAAGCGTTCGCTTGTCACGCCGAAGACCCGGGTTCGAATCCCCACATGGGCACAATGTGTGAAGCTCATTTCTGGAGTTGCCCGCCGTGATGTTGCTGGAATATTGCTAAAAGCGGCATAAAACCAAACTCAGTCAGTCAGTCAGTCAGTCTAATTAGGTAGAAAATACTGTTCAGTGCTGTATCCCTTATCCCTGGTACCCAAGTAAGGTGTTAACTATCATTCACTCACCCACCTGAGATGTCAAGCCGACTTATATGTGATGGACTTGTTGTGTTTGATTACAGGTGATGGAGTTGTTGTGTTTGATTACAGGTGATGGAGTTGTTGTGTTTAATTACAGGTGATGGAGTTGTTGTGTTTCATTACAGGTGTGTGTGCCGGTATCATTGACATTGGTGCCACATGGATGTCAGACTTAAAAGAAGGAATCTGTTTCGAGGCTTTCTGGTTCAACAAAGAACAGTGTTGCTGGTCAGACAAGAATGCCACCTACATCGAGGATGGGGACTGTGGACAGGTGAGAATATCTCGTTAACACAGGAAAATCTACACCAGGTTCAAGATTACTACAAGTATGGGGTGGTGGGGTAGGCTAGTGGTTAAAGCATTTACTCAACACACCAAAGACCAGGGTTTGATTCCCCACATGGGTACAATGTGTGAAGCTCATTTCTAGTGTCCCTACAATATTCCAGCAATATCATGGTGGGGTAAACCGGAAATAGGCTTTACACATCATAACCATGTGAGGAATCAAACCCATATCTTTGGCATGAACACTACCCACCAGGCTACCCTACTGCCCCAATAATGCTTGAAATGTTGTTTCAGTGGCTATATATTTGTTTGTGTCCTGCTTCATGTGTTTAATATATTGAACAAACTCATAACAATGGTAGATAGTTAAGGCAACAATAAGCAACATATAGCATCTGTTTTACGATCGTAGAGGGTATGTATGTGAAATGCAACAATTCAGCTAGGAAATGAAGATATTGTAAGAAATGTATGTTCACTACTTTTCTTATACTATTGGGGGTGGTGGGGTAGTCTAGTGGTTAAAGCATTGGCTCATCATCCGCCGAAGACCCGGTTGAATCCCCACATGGGTACAATGAGTGAAGCCCATTTCTGGTGTTGATTGTTTAGCGTAAAACCAAACTCAGTCAGACAGTCAGTCTTATACTATTGGGGTTTTCAAACTGTCGATGCATAATTGTAAGCCGCTCAATTTTGTTTAGATACCAGGGTTTGTTCCTGTTTCATACACATACTCTGGTTATCTGGAGTTGGGATATATTACCAAGGTTTTACCATTCATTAGACACTATAAGAACAGCATGAGCAGTAACAGCGATATCGCTTAGTGAGTGAGAGTGATTAGAGAATAGCTTGGTTAATACAATTATAGCTTTAATGATGTAATACCATCACCACCAAGTTGTATAGAGTGTTCAAGTACTGCCTGTAATGAGAAGTTTCTTCACTGCAAGGGACCAGTGTGATGAGTGACACGTTATTGATTAATGCTGAATATGACAGGCCAGTCTAGAACTGCTGGCTGTTTATCACTCGTATTACCCCACACTGTCCTCAACTGTGTCCAACATGTAATTATGACATGGTGGTATCACCCTTAATGTGTTCGGGAGTAGTGCTATAAGCGACATCAGAGGCCCAGATAAGCTGCGTATCCGGGTAAAATAAGCATAGAAAATTTCCAATTACGCGTTGAAAAATAATTGTTGCGTACCAATTACGCATTTAAAATGTTAGATATACAAGAAGTTTAAAACAAATGCGTACGGAATATATTTATAAAAGTCACTTACGTAATGAAAAAGACATCGATTGCTATCAAGTTGTACTGTTAGTATAGGACAAGTCTTGTACTGTCAGTATAGGATGAGTGATTTTTTTATGAAATCATTTCCATTATATTTAAGTTGGTTTTGATTAGGTATGATATAAGGCAGGACATACCTGCTTAGTAAACTTACTCAATAACATAATACTTAGGTGAGTAAAATGACTGGTCGATACCCACATGAGCTAAATCTTATCTGGAGCTCTGTGACATTCATTCTCTTCCCCACAGAGGTTACTTGTCATATCTTCCTACGAACCTCTGTTCTAATACGGCCATATTTCCCGGTTCTCGTAAAATCCCCTAGCGGCAAAAGATCGCAACACGAATTATCTCCCTTCTTTCTAACCAATCAGAACATGTGTTACATCGACTTAGATTCAACTTGACTAACACAAGCAAATGTGAGGCCACAAATATCCCCCATCTGCCGGGAACTTGTGTTGATGTTACACACAAGACGTTTAATGGCTAGCTTGTCCGTTTTCAACGAGGGCGATGGAGACGCCACTGATCCGCCATAACATGACTGAGTTCTGTCTAGAAGAAAAGTTTGCGCATCGCGCAGGGGAAGAGGTTTAGTTTTCTCGAAGTATACGGAAATTACCGAGGCCTTGCGAATGATCACTTTTGCAACAACGTCGCTGATTGCACAACTAAATCTGATTGCCTCCAATCACGAGTCTTGAACGCTCACACCATGAAAGGGCTGTATTAGAACAGAGGTTACTTAGGAAGATATGACAGGAGTAACATCTGTGGGAAGAGAATGTGTGACATTAAGTCTTGACTGGATCTTATTCCCTGTCAGCAGTGAGTCTAAAATTGAATTATAGTCACAGGATATGTAAAATGGGATTTTTTATGTGGCTGGAGTATTGTTTAAAAGGTTGTCAACTCACTCACTCACTCTGTGATATTGCTGGAATATTGCTAAAAGTGGCATAAAACTAAACTCACTCACTCTCACCAAACCTATCACCTAACCACTCACTCACACACTCACTCTTAGAGGTCTACCAAATAGATTCGGCAATCTGTCCAGATCATCATCATCATGATTCTGTGTCAACAAACACCAGCAGTAGCATTTGCTCACAGTTTCGATCACAGTATTGTCATGTCCAGCTGCCAGAGAGGGACTTATTTATTAGAGCTGCAGGGCCGGTGGCGTAGCCTAGTCCCGAGTTCAATTCCCCACAAGGGCATAATGTGTGAAGCCCATTTCTGGTGTTCCCTGCCGTGGAATTGCTGGAATATTGCTAAAAGGGGTGTAAAACCTCACACTCACTCACTCACTCACTCACTCTAAGAGCTGCATCACGCCAACACATACACACATACAATGCATATTGTACAGCTTTCTTCCTATCCATGACCCATTGCAGGTCAGACTGACCTGCCAGATGCCCATTGTCCCAGAACCCCATTGTTTCAAGACTAAGGAAGACATGATTGATTATCGACATTCTGTCAAGGCTTGGATGTGATATTTTCTTCCTCAAATAAACCCTGATAAGTTGACTATTATACAATGTGGCTGTGTTTGGTCTTTTATTGACAAAGGGAATCAATCTTGATGTTCAAATACTGACCATAGCTTGACTTTCTTGTATTGACAAAGGAAGAAGAACCTATCCAATCATCCATCTCTGTTATGATTACGTAATTAATTGGGTTTTTGTGGAAACATTAGAAAATAATAACAACCATGTTATCAGCATGTTTTAAGTTATATTTTAACATGCCAAGGACAAAAAGTGTTTGAAAAATTGAATGTAAACAGTCTATTCAAAATGACGTACCCTTCTGTCACATTAGAACTTTTTATTTGTGGTGCCAGCCTGTTCAATTATTATTTGAAAATGTGTTGTCATTGTAAGTTTATTGTGAAATGTTGCTCATGTTATATGTTTGCTGGCATGTTGAAATTACAAAGAAGCTGACAATTATACAATTTCTCAAACTCTTACTCATACCCAACTACCCTTTACATATGTATTTATATAAATAGGGGGATGAAGTTGAGATTATTTAATAAATTTAAAAAATATTTAAAAAGTTAATGATGAAAAAGTCTATTTTATTGAAGTCCTCATAGACTTATGAACATTTTTTTTTAACTTATTAAATTTTCAAAGACTTAGAATACTCTTTAAGCTTAATCAATCTTGGGCACTATATAAGAATAAAGAAATGCTACCCAGTAATTAAAATATGTGCATAATTGAAAAACCTCAAAATGGTCTCTTTAATGAGTTTGTTCTAAATGTCAGATTTCTATTGATAACAACTGATTATAGGAATGAGGTACATGCAGAATAAATAAACAATCTATTAATATTTACTTTAATGTGCCATTATTTTGGGAAGCAGGGTTTTGTCTTTATTTTGATATCAATAAGAAAATCTGTTTTAAGGTTGTCTCCCCTAGCATGGACAGGATGGTCATCTTTTCCAGATTTGCTCTGATATTGACCATTAAACAATGAGATTCAATACATCTAAAATACTGTAAACAAGGGCATTAAAATCAACCTACTGGGACAGAAATCCTCTGTACTTTAAAATACCTAATGAACAAATTATCCAGTGATAGTAAATCCATAGAGTTCAACAGTCCTTGACAGTTGAGTTGGTGGAATGTCGTTTTGAATCTGAACGTTGTAACTCTTTGAGGTTAAAAGCTATTTTAAGCAATATTCCAGTCAAATATCCGAGTTGATTTTTATAAAATTGTTGTAAGCTGGTGATGAAAGGACAAAACTGATGAAAATATGCCTGCAAAGAGTTAATGGCATTTTAAGTAAAAATATACTCGTGGAATCAGATTTAAATTCAAATGTTTCATTGAGTGGGAGTATGAAATAGGAGTCGATATTCTTCCAACCAAATTAATTTGCGGAGGGGAAAAGGCTTTGGGCATGATAGTTCTAACAGTATTGTTTTTTGGGGCATTGAGATTTTATCGAGAGTTGCATCGATTGTCCGGATATGAATATGCAGGAGTTGAAAAAATATATTCTGAATTCAGTTCAATAATAATCAGTCATTTTTAAATAAATTTAAGTTGTGAAAATTTGATAAATCCATTTTGGATTGAAATACAACTTTCACTAGTCTCGCAAATAAAAGGTTTGGTGCTGGACATGTCATCTCACTTTCACACTGAAGCCAGTGTCAAGACATGGGTTATATGACACGAGGATACCAAGTCAGGTCAATTGATAAAGATTCTGTACAGGTTTTGATTATTGTTTCAGAAGCAGATATTGAGAACAGGTACATTATAATTTTGTTTGTCCCACAATCGAGTGTAAGAAAAGCCTGGATTTTGCATGTTTAACTGGACAGTATTTTTTCCTGGCATCAGGGTCTGACATTTTACCCTAAAAAGGCCCTAAATTCATTTTAGCCAAGGCCTTTTTTGCCAGTGATTTGGCCTAAAAAAGCCCTATGTTTAGTAAAACTTGTCAAGTTTTCAGTTTACAGGAAAGTAATATGTTATAAAAATACCTTACAATAACAGTAGGTGTTCATTAATCTCCATCTCAAAGCAAAACTTTCCCAGTGCAGCGTGTAGCTAAGAGTTATTTCCCTTTGATGGTCGGACCACCTTCGTCTGTATTCAACTACATATGTGTTATATGTGTTTCTGTAGTTTAATAAAATTGTTGATTGGACCTTGAAAAGCCCCTAAAGAAAGCTTTAAATTTGATGGCTGATAATCTTATGAATCCTGAGTATTGACAGTGATCTGTATTGGTCAGAATCCAGTTTTGACAGATTCTACTGTAAGCTTTGGTCACATATACACAAATAACATTGTAACTGCTGACTGACATCAAGCTTTCACAAGTAACTATAATGGTTTTGCAGTCTCAATGTATTTTTCCTTTTCCAGTGGTACTCGTGGAGCCGTCTGTTCGGCATCAGTGATGGCAATGCCGGATCCTACATCATCAAGTATCTGTTGTATATACTCTGGGCTTTGGCCTTTGCTGGCATGGCGGCCATGTTGGTCCGAGTCTTTGCACCATACGCATGTGGCTCTGGTATTCCTGAGGTAAGACTTCATTGAGAGACATTCTGTGGGGTTTCTGGGTCAGAACTGGTCATCAGCAACATATGCTGATCGTTAAAGGTGACCAATTGGATTGCGTGGTCGTTAAAGGTGACCAATTGGATTGCGTGGTCGTTAAAGGTGACCAATTGGATTGCGTGGTCAGACTTGGTTGACTGCATGTCATTGTTCTCCAACAGTATTGATAGTCACGTATCATCTACTTGAGTGAGTGAGTTTAGTTTTACGCCGCACTCAGCAATATCCCAGCTATATGGCGGCGGTCTGTAAATAATCGAGTCTGGACCAGACAATCCAGTGATCAACAGCATGAGCATCGATCTGCGCAATTGGGAACCGATGACATGTGTCAACCAAGTCAGCGAAACTGACCACCCGATCCCGTTAGTCGCCTCTTACGACAAGCATAGTCACCTTTTATGTCAAGCATGGGTTGCTGAAGACCTATTCTACCCCGGATCTTCACGGGTCATCATCTACTTGAATACTGTAAACCGGAAATATTTTGTGCCTTGAAAATTTTGCATCAGCGTACCCCCAGCCTGTTCTGCGACGTATCATTTTTGTGAGAGTAGTAGGCTTTGCAAAAACAACATTGTTAACTAAAACTACATTGCTTCTTACAGGGATACAGCTTTCTGGGATACAGGATGACAAGTTTCTTATTAATCCCTTTGATCTCAACAGTATCAGCTCAGTTCTAAGTTGTTTTTGCTAAGCATTGTATTATTTGCAGGGATGAAGATTATCAATTTGTTATTATTGTGTGAAGAATTTGTCTGTGTATTTTCATGAATAAGATGTCTAAGATATTCTTGATGTAAATTTACCTTTCTTAATATTACTACGACGAGAATTTTTTGCATGGGGAAGAGAAACGCGACATTCGCAAAATATAAACTGACGCAGAATATTTCCGGTTTACAGTATCTGATCTAACCTCGGTTGTTTGCAGTCCATCTGTGTAAAGCAGGAACATTACTGAGTGGTGGCATAAAACAATATTCTGAAAATGTCATTAGCAAACTCTTGTCAAACTTTTGTCAGACTGACTGACTGACTGCGTTTGGTTTTACGCTTTAGCAATATTCCAGCAATATGGTGGCATAACACCAGAAATGGGCTTCACTCATAGTACCCTTGTGGGGATTCAACCTCGGTCTTGGCACCAACGCCAACGTTTTAACCACTAGACTACCCCACCGCCCCTTTGTCAGACAATTATACCAGTTGAGCAAACATTTACAAGAATTTCAGTAGTTTTATGAATCAATGATAAAGTTCTTTAATGCCTTTAGTATCTATTGTGAACTTGTTCGACCACTTTATCACTATGCACTTTCCCCACAAACTACACCAGTATTTGGTTTTGTAGAGTTGCTTCACTTAGCTAGATACCAGGATGATGTTGGTTTTGAGTCACAGAGATTGATGAGATGATCCCTGGTAAACATCTACAACATTCATCACATATGGCCTTAATATGACATTTACATTGACTAAAAGTTGACAAGCACATGGAGCTCAATTCACTGACTCACTCACTCTGATCCCCAGATCAAGACTATCCTGAGCGGGTTCATCATCCGAGGCTACCTGGGGAAGTGGACGTTGTTGATCAAGTCCGTGGGGATGATGCTGGCAGTGTCTGCTGGGTTGTCGCTGGGGAAGGAAGGCCCCTTCGTCCATGTTGCCAGTTGCTGTGGCAACATCTTTTCTTACCTTTTCCCCAAATATGGTAGAAATGAAGCCAAGAAAAGGGAGGTAAGTAGTCTACAAATAAACTTCATAAAATGAAAACGGTTGTTCGTGTAATTACAGTACAAGTTGGTTATAATAGAAACTTCTTAATAGTAAAGCATAATGAGCACAAATCCAACAAATACAAAAGAATTTCAATACTTTCAGTCATTAATTTATGAAGATCCATTTTCCATATGGTGAACATTAAACTTTTCATGTATGTAGACTGTACTGATCATGCAAACAATAACAATAACTGGATCTGCAGAGTTGCCTCCCTTAGACAGAACCTGATGATTTGTCTCAAATGGCTTAAAATTGTATTATTCTTTTGCCTTTGCTCATTTACCAATCAATTTGCTTAAACAGGAATGAAAAATTTTGATGTACGGTCAAAATGATGCTGAAATATACATAAGATAAGCATAGCCTCAGTTTGATTCAGAATAATTTCATTCCTATGTTCTATTGTTAAACATCACCTGTAATTGTGCTCCAGGTGTTGTCAGCTGCTTCCGCTGCAGGTGTGAGTGTCGCCTTTGGTGCCCCAATTGGAGGTGTACTCTTCAGTCTGGAAGAGGTATGATACAATACAACAACAATATAACGTTCTACAACAATATAACATTTTATATACCATGTGATTATTGCACATATACTTTTCGTAACACGTGAAGATCCAGGTGTCAATTGATCTTCAGCACCCCATGCTTGTTATAAGAGGTGACTAACTGTTCCTGATGCTGTTAATCACTGGGTTATCTGGTCCAGACTCAATTATTTACGGTTTGCCATCATATAACTGGAATATTGCTGAGTGCTGTGTTATACAACAAACAAATGATAACACACATACAGAAGTGGATCAGTAAAATGATATGTTGACTACAGCGGCTATGGCTTCCAGGTTAAAATTAAGTCTTTGCAGAACACATCTTGTATTACTTCAATTCCACATCTATTTTGTGTTGAAACACATTGACAATGACCTTGACAGCAGCTTTCCTCCATGCGACATGTACTTGCAGGTCAGTTACTACTTCCCCTTGAAGACTCTATGGCGGTCCTTCTTCTGTGCCCTAATGGCAGCCTTCGTGCTGCGGTCTATCAACCCCTTCGGCAACGACCATCTGGTCATGTTTTATGTTGAGTATCATGAACCCTGGTACATCCAGGAGCTGGTGGCATTCATCATCATTGGGGCACTTTCGGGGTAAGTTGGAATTTGCAGTGAATAGCAAGGATTGTTCTGATTGGCCAAAACAATATCATCAGCAGGCGGATTTGTTCTGATTAGTCAAAACAGTATAAGTGTTCAGGCCCGTTCTCAGTGGTTTAAACTGTTGGTTCTCAGACTAGTTCTGAATGGAGCTATTATTGTACATATACAGATTTTTATAAATTATGCTTAATATATTTATCTATGTGCATATTTGTGTAAATCACTCTCATATTGTGCACTCCGTCCTTACCAATAAATTCAGAAAATATTGTATTTAACTGTTAAGTGTTATAGGAAATTGAATCAGATCAAATACGAACAAACTGTATTCAAGAAAAAAAACCTACAAGTGTTTTTGTCAGTTGTTGGAAGATTTTATGATTTGATGGCAAAAATACTAAAATTTCATCTGATTTTGTCTAAATACACTCAGAGTCTCTCTGTTTGCATAGGGTCTGTATGGAAGCTTTTTCATCAAGTTCAACATTATGTGGTGCCGTTATAGAAAAACCTCATCGCTGGGAACCTACCCTATTATTGAGGTGAGTTCAACAGTACCCATACCCATGTTTAACATGGAGCTGCTGTAATCAGCATTACATGACCTTGACACAGATCCACTAGAGGAATAGGGGAGCAATACGGTCCTAGCAGCTCCTGTTGGACAAGGGGCGGTGGGGTGGTTAAAGTGTTCGCTCGTCACACAGACGACCTGGGTCTCGATTCCCCACATGGGTACAATGTGTGAAGCCCATTTTTGGTGTCCCCCCACCATGATATTGCTGGAATATTTCTAAAAGCGGCTAAAAACCACACTCATTCACTCACTCATTCCTATTGGACAAAAAAGGGTACCAAGCTGTATGTGGATCCAGTGGTCACAATGTCTTCTGTCATCAAGCTGCGACAGGCAACACTGATAGCGCTATGTGTTGTCTATATCAATGATCACTGTGTTGTTTTTTTTCTTTTTGATTTTTTTTTTTGGTGATAGCAAAATACCCTGCATTACTTTTCTTAGTATGGCATCAAATATATTTAGAAACTCACCATACATTTCTGGTAACAATTGTAAGTCTGTCCTGTTGTGGGTTTCACCAAATCACTATGTATGTGAGATCTGTAAGACATGCCTCACTGCTAGGCCATGATAGAAATCAAATGCTGCTGAAGGTGGTGTTAAACCCAAGACACTCACTCATACATTGTCACTGAGCAGGTTCTGATTGTCTATCAGACTCACTGGTAGCTGTAGGGGTGGTGGGATAGCCTGGTGGTTAAAGCGTTCACTCGTCACGCCTGAGACCCAGGTTCGAATCCCCACATGGGCACAATGTGTGAAGCCCATTTCTGGTGTCCCCTGCCGTGATATTGCTGGAATATTGCTAAAAGCGGCGTAAAACCATACTCACTCACTCACTGGTAGCTGTAATCATCAATTATAGTGACATGGAAGTCACCTGATTGTTATTTTTGTTATATCCAGGTTCTCATAGTGACGTTCATCACCGCCTTGCTCAGCTACCCAAACTCCTATACCAGGTAAGTGACTCTTTGTTACCATCTTGTTAGAGTCAGGACAGCCTCAATGGCCTAGTGGATAGAGCTTTTGCCAGGAGAGCTGAAGCTCAGTGGTTTAATCCACATGTTATTCTAAAAGACATTAATAGATGGAACTTCTTGCTACAATGCCTGGTGCTTGGACTTTTGAATAATGTATACAGCATTCAAAATTCATTCTAGTCCAATCGAAAGTCCTCATTGAGATGTAGTTTTTAGTGGCAGTTGTTCTGAACCAATTACCTACAAAATGGAAATGAATAAAACTTACAGAATGTGGAAAAATAGTAAACCATTTTGTCTTGTTCAAACCAAACTGGCTTCAGACTCGGGGACTACTGAAATACATACAGAGGGAAACAAATAAGGGAACGCCACTTCATGGCAGTGTTCCTTTTGTACTCAAATTTTCACCCACAGTAAAATACAAAACTTATGAAGAAACCTGGAAAACAATTCAGGAAAACATTTACTTTCATGTGTTCCCTTATTTGTTGCCTTCAGTATACTCAACATTGGCCCTGTGGATTAGTCTTAAAAGCGAGGAATTTCTATGGTTTGTGTATGAGTCTGTTTCTATTCCAGAATGAACACGAGTGAGCTGATCAAGATGCTAGTGAGCAGCTGTGGGCCTGAGGACAGTTTGGAGTTATGGTGAGTATAAGCTGAAGAATGACAGACTGACTGACTGACTGACTGAGTTTGGTTTTATGCCGCTTTTAGCAATATTCAAGCAACATCACGGGCGGGGACACCAGAAATGGGCTTCACACATTGTACCCATGTGGGGATTGAACCCGGGTCTTTGGCCTGAAGGTGAAGAATGACATCTCACTCTGTCTATGCACATACTGTCTAGGGTAGCCTAGTGGTTAAAGTGTCCGCTCATCCCTCTGAAGACCCATGTTCACTGATTCCCCACATGGGTACCATGTGTGAAGCATTCCATTTTGGTGTCCCTGCCATGCTGGAATATTGCTACAAGTGGCATAAAAACTCACTCACTCACTCACTCACTCACTCACTCACTCACTCACTCACTCACTCACTCACTCACTCACTCACTCACTCACTCACTCACTCACTCACTCAAGATCTGGGTTAGAGTTTGTCTGCCTCGCCCCATTGTTGCGTGAGAACAATAAACCCCAAACATTAACACCGTTAGCACTGAATGAATGTTGTATGAATATAACAGTGGTGATATTCCTGTTGTTTCATGGGGGGTGTTCCCAGTGAAGATTCAGGGTTAGAATTGGCCTTTAATAACCCATTCTTGCAATAACAAGTGACTAATAGGATCAGGGTGCCCTTGTTCAAAGCGATCTTAGAGCTAAGGTGATCGTAACTCCTATACCGTAACAGACTTACGACAATCGTAGTTAATTAGTTTTGTACAACTATACAGAGATGGTAAGCCTCGTGACTTGGGTCTATACATGCCATCTTAATCCCAACTGTGTAGATCGGTGCTCATGATGTCAATCACTGGATTGTCTGGTCAGGACTCAGTTATTTAAAGAATGCTGGCATATAGCTGGAATATTTCTGAGTGAATCGTTAGATAATAAACAACAACTAAATGTCTTGTGTCAATGTAACATGAAGACAAAATCCTTTTACTTACATGTTCCTTGAATCCTAATTTCAGTGACTACCATCGTAACTTCACCCAGTCGAAGCCTTTCATTGGCAGCGCTGTAGCAGGAGAGGGCGTCATGACAGCATTGTGGAAGCTGTCACTAGCGCTCATTTTTAAATCTCTCATCACAATATGGACTTTTGGTCTCAAGGTGAGTTGTAGTGTTCGACAAGTTGGGGTAGCCTAGAGGTTAAAGCTTTTGCTCATGAAGCTGAAGACCCAGGTTCAATTCCCCACATGGGTACAATGTATGAAGCCCATTTCTGGTGTCCCTAGCCATCATATTGCTGGAATATTGCTAAATGCTCGCTACTAGATCGGAGGACATCCCATTACAATGTCACTTACATGTATGGGACTTTTCAAGACAGACGACCCAGTCAGACTGCTAGAATCTTGTAATGATGGATAGTTGTACATTGTTGACACATTCTACTTCCAGGTTCCCGTGTGGTCTCTTCATACCCAGCATGGCCGTAGGTGCAATCATGGGGCGTCTAATCGGCATCGGTGTCGAACAGCTTGTCCTGTAAGTCACCTTGATCGATTTTAATGAATCACGATGAATAATAGCAAAATATACTTCGATTACATTGTTAAGTTAATATTTTATTGGCCCAGTTTTACAAAGCTGTCTCAGCACTAGGGTGATTATAACTCCCATATCTAACATGGATTACAATAGTTGTAACGTTTTGATCGCTTGACGGACCATTGGTTTGAGTCCTGGTTTGAATCCTGGTTTGAATCCTGGTTTCTGGCTTTGTCATAACCATTTCCTTGCTCAAGTTTTTCTCAACCGCCTCCGTGGTGTAGTGGTTAGAGCGTCCACCCGGAGAGCGGAAGGTCGCGGGTTCGATTCCCGACCGCGTCATACCAAAAGACGTTTAAATATGGTACTTGTTGGTCCCTGCCTGGCGCTCGGCATTAATGGGCACAACAAGGACTGGTCGGCTCGGAGTCAGTATAATGTGTCTGAGTGGGGTATTCATACTTCACTGCGACATGGTATCTCAGTGGGCTAGCACTATAAAACCAGCTTCAGTCTGGGCTAGTACAAGCAGCCGCACATACACATACACACGCATGCACGTCGTCATATGAGCGAAATATTCTCAAGCACGACGTTAAACCCAATTTCACCTCACCTCACCTCAAGGGTTTCTCCAAAGTGGTAACTGTCAAAGACAGCCATTATGTTTGGATTATCCTTGATGTAACTGAAATACGGTGGGAATTCAAGTTCTGAATAGGCCCCAGGTATCTCAGGCTGAGGCTTTTTTGTGTTGGCTGACTGCAAGGCATGATACCCCAAAGGAATGGATTGTTGCCCTTGCTTTAGTCACTGTTTTAGCTGGACAACACTTATCCTTCAAATAGAACACCACTTATTATATGTGTAACTGTTGTGTCACCAGAGCTAACCAAGACAGCCCTATTTTTGCCAACATGTGTGACTCGGAGCAGACGTGCACTGTGACACCAGGACTGTACGCCATGGTGGGTGCTGCGGCAGCACTGGGAGGGGTCACCAGGATGACAGGTCAGTTGTCTCCCTTGACTCGATGTGTTGTAAATGTGGAAAATAGTTTACCTCTGGTAATCTGTATTGAGTAAGTTGAATATCTGCCACTAAATAGCCCTCATTTACAACAGTATTTGAGTTACTTTTACATTTTACTCAAATTGTTTATTCACCAAGTTCATTTAAATCAGATCTCTACTTGCTGTTGATCACTTGGTTGTCTGGTCCAGACTCGATTATTTACAGACCGCCACCATATAGCTGGAATATTGCTAAAAGCGGCGTAAAACCATACTCACTCACTCACTCATTTCTGTGTTTTTTTTCACTCATTATGCTGACAGACCATGATATAATTGAAATATTGTTCAAAGTGGCATCAAACCCAATTCACTCACTCACTCACTCACTGTTTGTGTTTCAGTGTCCCTGGTGGTCATCATGTTTGAGTTGACCGGTGGTCTGCAGTACATCGTGCCCATCATGGCCGCTGCCATCACCAGCAAGTGGGTCGGAGATGCTCTGGGCAAGGAGGGAATGTATCCTTACTTCACAATCAATATTTTGCATGCCATTCCGCTGCATTTGATTAAATAACCAAGCACTGTTTTTGCTTTAAGTTTCCATACACTGTGCATCTGGACCACGCCTACTGGTGGGCTGAACAGGCGGTGGGCTTAGCCTAGTGGTTAAAGCATTTGCTTGTCATGCTGAAGACATGGCTTCGATTCCCCACACGGGTACAATGTGTGAAGCCCATTTCTGGTCTTGACCCGCCGTAATATTGCTGGAATATTGCTAAAAGGGGCGTAAAACTAAACTCACTCACTGGTGGGCTTCTGATTAATGACTGACTGAAAATAGAATGGAAAGGGCTCGTATTGCATGATCACATTGAAGAATGTCAATTCGTAGTTATTATAGTTGACATGTGTATCTGTGAGAATTGACTTCAAGATATTTTTTAGTTTATGGGATTATAAACGTAACACCAAGTGTCCAGTCTCCATACATCTGAATCCCCTCATAATTCTGACCAATAAGGATGTTTCTGTGTATTTCTGTGAACCTTAACTTGCAAGTTACGATGCTCACATTCGACTGAATGGCTACCCATACTTGGACAGTAAAGAGGAATTTACACATACAACAATAGCAGCAGATGTCATGAGACCCAGGTTGGTACAAACATAAATCGTAGGTAGTATATAACGGACATGGCAATAACCATCAGCCTCTTACACAGGTTGTGTAGGTCAACATTGCCGTGTCGGGAATAAAATATTTAGAATATATATCACTAGAATTGTAGTCCTGATACTATATGTATATATATCATACTTTCAAATTTGTCTTCATAAGAAACGATTGTAAGTGCATTTGTGATAAATGTAGATTTAATTGTAATCTATTTTGATTGTATGTTTACCTGGAATTATTGTTCATGATATGTTTACCTGTCATCATCTCTGATGCTATGTTTACCTGGAACCACTATTCGTATATTTACCTTTATAACAACTTTGATAACATTTCATTTGGGATAACTGTTGATTATTAATATACCTGTAAACAATATTGATAGTATGTTACCTGGGATAACTGCTGCTGAAATATTTACCTTTGATCAATATTTGTGGGATTGTTAACCTTACACAATGGGTATTTTTTCTGTTTTGGGATTAATGAATTATTATGTTTTTGCCTCTATTCAATATAAAGAGTTAATTTAAACTGAAGCAGTGTAGATGTTTGACTTTAGTTTTAGTAAATCCAGATGCTAAATTTACCTGTAGTGAAGAGAGATAGTAAATTCACCTGTAATCAATGTAGATGTGAAATTTAGAATCTAACATTGATTGTATTCAAGACATCAATCTGTAGTGTGAGTATTATGAGTAAGTGCCACTAACACCTGTTACTTTCCTCCACGCCTCAGATACTGGCGCTATGGGTTGGGAGTGTGAGTGACAGACACTTTGTGTCAATAGTGTAGTGTTGTGCTATACATCTGATTGGTTGTTGTGTGTTGTGCTGTACATCTGATTGGTTGTTGTGTGTCACCCGTGATTCCCTAGCACTTTCCCATATGACAGCCAGTGAAGTATTGGTGTATGACGAAACTTGATGCTAAAGCTACCCTGACCAGTAGAGCTTTAACGATCTGTGAAGTATCGATGTATGATGAAACTTAATGTGAAGACTACCTGACCGGTAGAGCTTTAACGATCTGTGAAGTGTTTGCATATGACAAGACTTTATGCTATGGCTACCTGACTGGTAGAGCTTTAATGATGTGTGAAGTATCGGTGTAAACTAGCTCTATATAGTTTGTATGAAACTATAAGTGTATGATACTATAAGTGTATGATACTATAAGTGTATAAAAAGACTTTATGATAGAGCTACCTGACTATCTGTGAAGTGTTTGCATATGACAAGACTTCATGCTAGAGCTACCCTGGCCAGTAGAGCTTTAACTATCTCTGAATTATCGATGTATGACGAGACTTTAAGCTACGGCTACCTGACCAGTAGAACTTTAACAATCTGTGCAGTATCAGTGTAAACTGGCTGTATATAATGTTGTGAACTGTCACCCAGATAGCATTCAGTCGTTGGCCCAACTTTGGCAATGGTTTTGCCAACATTGCCAACATTGGGCCAACGTCCAAATGCTATCTGGGCAGTGTATGATAATACTTTCTGTCAAGATTTTGATAGTTTGTTGGTGAATGACAACATTTTTTACCATGAAAACCTGTCGAGTTGGAATGATCTGTGAAGTATGAGTGTCTTAATGATCTGTGAAGTATGAGTGTCTTAATGATCTGTGAAGCATCAGTGTCTTGATGCCCGACTAGTGGAGCTGTAGGAATCTGTAAAGTATTGATGTATGACGATACTTTGTAGCATGACTACCTGCAGTGCTGTAAAGATTTGTAAAGCATCGGTGTATGACAATACTGTATAGTGTGATTATGTAAATGACAGTGTGACTACACTGAACATATGTGATGACAATATGTGGTGTGACAGAATGTATAGCATGGTTCATCGACAGACCAACTTGCTGTGATATTGTTGACTGCAGCAGTAACACCTTCCAGTCTGGCCCAGAATAGTCTGAAGTGAGTCATGGACCGATATTCTTACCATTAACTACCGGTTTGCTTATAACAGACTTGCCTGACAATAGTCGGCCATCTTGATGCAACTATTATTCTGCTGACTCATCTCCCTGATGGTAATTTGTATCAGGAGATGCCTTTCCTAACAGGTTTGCAGTGTACGCTAAAACCTTTAACTTGAAATGTACTTAGCATGGTGTGGAAAGAAATTGCTAAGATCATCCTTTTGGTGACTTCGCTAAAACCAGAGAATCTTTAAATAGCAGGTACCGCTTCTCTGTCTGATGGTTTATCCAAGACTGTTGGGAATGTAGAAAGATGGATTGTATTTTTCTGAAAAATCTATATGTGCAAATAATCAGAAACAATCTATAGTTTGATATATCATTCATGTTGTATACTCTCTCGTGTTACAACTGCTTAACTTACAAAACTGAAATAATTTGAGATCCAGTTTCTAGATTAGTGGTGAAAGATCACCTCTCGATCACCAGTTTGCAAATTTTAGTCTTTATTCAAATGCTTTTTCTTTGTTGTTGAATGCTTCATTCAGCAATTGTCCAGCCACAGGACAGTGTTAAAAGAGTAAGCAAGTCAGGACCAGACAATTCAGTGATCATGAGCATCATTCTATACAATTGGACCAATGAAGATCCATGAAGATCTTCAGCAACCCATGCTTGTCGTAGTCAGGTCAGGCTCACTGGGACAGGCTTGACACTCTTCATCATATCTCAGTTGCATAGATCGATGCTCACGATGTTAATCGCCGCCGTGATATTGCTCGAATATTGCTAAAATCGGCGTAGAACTAAACTCATTCACTCACTCATTATGTAAATCACTGGATTGTCTGGTCCAGATTTGATAGGGCCTGGGCCCTCTTCAAAAAGTGATCTTAGCATTGAGGTGATCATAACTCATACTTCAACATAGGCCGATGACCATGGTAGTGATACAATCACTTTTTAGACACAGGGCCCTTGGTCCTGCTGTACAAATCAACCTTAGCATTACAACAGTTGTAAATCTATGTTAAGGTATGGGTTTACGATCACCTTAGCTCTATGATGGTCGTAAGTCTTATGTTAAGGTATGGGATTTACGATCACCTTAGCTTTATGATGGTTGAAAGTCCATGCTAAAGTATGGGAGTTACGATCACCTTAGCTCTACGATAGTCATAAGTCTGTGTTAAGGTATGGGAGTTACGATCACCTTAGCTCTACGATAGTCATAAGTCAGTGTTAAGGTATGGGAGTTACGATCACCTTAGCTCTACAATGGTCGTAAGTCTTATGTTAAAGTATGGGAGTTACGATCACCTTAGCTCTACGATAGTCATAAGTCTGTGTTAAGGTATGGCAGTTACGATCACCTTAGCTCTACAATGGTCGTAAGTCTTATGTTAATGTATGGGAGTTACGATCACCTTAGCTCTACAGTGGTCGTAAGTCTGTGTTAAGGTATGGGAGTTACGATCACCTTAGCTCTACGATTGTCATAAGTCAGTGTTAAGGTAAGGGAGTTACGATCACCTTAGCTCTACGATAGTGATAAGTCAGTGTTAATGTATGGGAGTTACGATCACCTTAGCACTAAGATTTCTTTGTACAACAACACTCCGGTCCCATTCCCTAGATGCACAAAGGCATAGTGTCCCATGCCTTGATATGGCGAGAAAAATGTGAAACCTATACCACTCACTCACTCACTCCACATCACTCTGTATCGCATGTACATTTCAGTGTTGTACACTAGTGTCAAGTAGTCAGTACATCTTCATTATTTCAGAAGTATGTTGACTTTTTAGACTGTTGATGTTGTGGTGCTCAATATTAGTTTGTGACATATTTATGTCCCGCACAAATGACAGTATTCACTTACTGCTCAACTTACAATGAGACTTGATATGATGTGCAGCTCGTCCTCGTAATTATGTCCACCTTGATTAGTCTAGTTATTTTGTGGGATGTTTTGAAATATATGATAGAGGAGAAATATCTTATTGTGGAAATGAAGTTGTTTTTGAAGATGTGATTGGCTTGATATAGCTTAATGATCCTATTGCAATTAATTAAGTATCAGTATTCATGAGGTAGTATTGATACAACATTAAATATTCAACAATTAGTGATTACATAGACATCTCAATGTGTAATGACATCTCTAGTTATGCTATATATTACCATAATTATTATTGAGAGAATACGATTTTTGTGCTAGGTGGCCATGGCAATATGATTAGTTTTCATGAAAGAGAAATGTAGAAAAAGTCAATTCTCCAAAGAAACTTTAGTCTTGTTTATGTTGTCCTGTGGAATATGGAATATTGTTTGTGATATCAAGAACAATGGAACACTCATTCAATTGTTCTAGACAGTGTTGCATTGTGTCATTGTTCTGTGCTCAAGCAGCTTTAGGAATCGCCATCATGAATCTGAATGTTATTTCGATCTTTCAAATATGTTTTTATTTATAATGCCAAAGTATGTTCATGATCCACTCTGAGAAGTATTCTTCCATGAATTTAGAAATTAATTTGGAGATTATTCTTGTTTGGTCAGTTTTATGCTTGGTAAGACTGGGTAACAATATTAGAGTGAAATTAGTGACATTATATGTTCTCAAACAACATCTCCAAGTTCCTGTAAGCATATATATTTGTAAGCATATATATCTGGTACTTACTCTCAATCCGACATGTCCAATTCCTACCTAAACAGATATGTATCACTACCATGTGTATTTATGTTTTACCATTCTTGCAGAAGGAATGATCCCCCGATGTGCGCCATTACACAAGACACAATGACGGTGGATGAAGTTGGTGAGTTGTGTTCTTTAATTTCCCACATTGTGTAGATGAGGGTATGTCCACCCCAACCCACCCCTCCACATATTGAAATCATGAACTACTGTAACTGGGTGATGATGATGATGGTGGTGGTGGTGGTTGGTGATGATGATGATGATGATGGTGATGGTGGTGGTGGTGGTGATGATGGTGGTGGTGGTGATGATGATGGTGGTGGTGGTGGTGGTGGTGATGATGATGGTGGTGGTGGTGGTGGTGATGATGATGATGATGATGGTGGTGGTGGTGGTGATGATGATGGTGGTGGTGGTGGTGATGATGATGATGGTGGTGGTGGTGGTGGTGATGGTGGTGGTGGTGGTGGTGATGATGATGGTGGTGGTGGTGGTGATGATGATGGTGGTGGTGGTGATGGTGGTGGTGATGATGATGGTGGTGGTGGTGATGATGATGTTGGTGATGATGATGATGATGGTGGTGGTGGTGGTGGTGATGGTGATGGTGATGATGGTGGTGATGATGATGATGATATTTTGATGACAACTAAATGAGAAGTATTATGATGCTCTAAATGAGAAGTATGATAGCTCACCCAGTTAACGAATATGCCTGCTAATATATTGCCAGGATACCATAAATAATAGGTTCGGGTTTTCAGACTATTACACATCTGCTGATTCACTACAATAGGAACAGATAGGATCCACGTTTTGTAATATATGTATATATTTTGCAGAGCATGTATTGCGGAATACAGAACACTATGGTTTCCCCGTGGTTGTGTCCAGGGAGTCACAGTACCTGGTCGGCTTCGTACTACGTCGAGATCTCAACCTGGCCATCAGTAAGTCTGAAGTAAAACTGTCCGATGTGTTTGGTACACTGTAGGGACGTAGCTTTAAAAGCAGTTTTGCTCAACCTCACACCTCCCAAGTCTTGTGGATAGATCAGATTTTCACCTCCAAGGTCTAGTGGATAGATCAGATTTTCACCTCCAAGGTCTAGTGGATAGATCAGATTTTCACCTCCAAGGTCTAGTGGATAGATCAGATTTTCACCTCCAAGGTCTAGTGGATAGATCAGATTTTCACCTCCCAAGTCTAGTTGATATAGCAGATTTCCACCTCCCAAGTCTAGTGGATATAGCAGGTTTTCACCTCCCTAGTCTAGTGGATATAGCAGGTTTTCACCTCCCTAGTCTAGTGGATATAGCAGATTTCCACCTCCCTAGTCTAGTGGATATAGCAGGTTTTCACCTCCCTAGTCTAGTGGATATAGCAGATTTTCACCTCCCTAGTCCACTGGATATAGCAGATTTCCACCTCCCTAGTCTAGTGGATATAGCAGGTTTCCACCTCCCTAGGCCACTGGATATAGCAGGTTTCCACCTCCCTAGTCTAGTGGATATAGCAGATTTCCACCTCCCTAGGCCACTGGATATAGCAGGTTTCCACCTCCCTAGTCTAGTGGATATAGCAGATTTCCCCCTCCCTAGTCTAGTGGATATAGCAGGTTTTCACCTCCCTAGTCTAGGGGATATAGCAGATTTCCCCCTCCCAGTCTAGGGGATATAGCAGGTTTTCACCTCCCTAGTCTAGTGGATATAGCAGATTTTCACCTCCCAAGTCTAGTGGATATAGCAGAATTTCACCTCTCTAATCTAGGGGATATAGCTGATTTCCACCTCCCTAGTCTAGTGGATATAGTAGATTTCCACCTCCCTAGTCCGGTGGCTATAGCAGATCTTTAGTGGTTCAGTCCTTTGGATGCTTCATGGTAAAGAACAGTAAGAGATGGTACTTGTTGTGTTCCTGCCTGCCTCCTGATGGAGGGATATAAAACAGGTCATTGTCTGATGCAGATATTGCTTACAGGTCATTATGACATCGCTTGAATGTTGCTGTCAATCTGCCTTTTCTGTTCTCAATAAGATGGGTCTCATTGGTTTATTGGTGTTTTTAGCTTGGCCTACAAAACTGTAGTAGTTTTGTGTCATGTCTGAGTATATATATTACACACTTGGGTATGATCCAGATTTATCAGTTACAGAGTCAAGACGGTAAACTATTTAGCATGTAGTATTATTTGTATTATTCATAGTTAGACTTGTTGTGGTATTTCAGCTAACGCCAGGAAGAACACAGAAGGCGTCGTCAGTAACTCCATGGTGTACTTCACCGGCCATGTACCTGCCAACCCTCATGGCCCTGCACCACTAAAACTGAGGAAAATACTGGACATGGTAAAAACATCCACGTTGAAATATTTTTTCCTTTTCATGGCTATTTCTGAAACTGATTTGGCAGGGAGGGAATGTTATTTGTTTTTATTACTCGCCCATGGAAGATACTGGAGTGTAATATTTTTACAGCAATATTACATTAGTGTAGTAGCGCTAGATGTATGACGTCATAATGGTTTCCAGTTATGACGTCACAATGCTAATGCCTCTGTCACAATGTAGACCTTGCTTGATTCGCGGAAAGCTGAGAGTCATCATCACACTGTAGGCAGTTTCTATCAATTTATGTTAGAGAGTAATGAACAGAATACTAAACTCACTTCTGTGAAATACCATTTTTAATTAACTCATGAAAGATTTAGTATTAAACTCGCTTTCACTTGTTTTTCATAACAAATCATTACCTCGTTTAATAAAAATGGTATTACACAGGAGGTCGTTTTGTATCCCCTATATATGCGTACATTGACAAAACTGACAAAGTTCATGTAGCATGTGGGGTCATACCCCTTGTGGCTCACAGTATTACAAGATGCGGCCGTAGCCATGGTGACCACAGTCTGGTTGATTCCACTGAAAATGTGATCCGTTGACGTGGTGTTTGCAAAATGATATACTGATCATGCAAAAATCCTCTGTAGCAAGATGATAAGTTGCACAACTTATAATGAATAGTGAAGGGGACACTGATGAAATTGTGATTTATATTGCACGATGACAAGTACAGGATTAATGGCTCTGTAGTAGAGGTAGTATTCTTAGAATAGTTAACGATGATAATTAGTGTTTGATTTTGCATTTTGAGTTTTCTTTTTCAAAGAAGTCATTTGATGTAATTTCCTCCTTCAGGCTCCAGTGACAATTACAGACCAGACTCCGATGGAGACGGTTGTCGAGATGTTCCGGAAGCTGGGTCTCCGTCAAACACTCGTTACACATAATGGGTAGGATTATTTAATTCATATTTACCTTTGTAACAATAATTTCTTTTGCATATTGTTGTGCTTATCACATCAGATTGCTGGCATATTGCTGAAATGTCCTGGACTATTGCTGTAATATAGGTTGAATTTGAGTGAAATATTGCTTGAATATTCCGGGAATATTGTGGGGCGGTGAGGTAGCTTAGTGATTAAAGCATTGGCTCGCATCGCAGAAGACCCAGGTTCGATTCCTCACATAGATACAATGTGTGAAGTCCATATCTGGTATCCCCTGTCGTGATGTTGCTGGAATATTGCTAAAAGCAGTGTAAAACCATAATCACTCTCTCACTCACTCACTCACTCACTCACTCACTCACTCACTCACTCACTCACTCGAATATTGCTGGAATCTGTTGACTCAGCATATATCAACATTCATGTATTCACCATGCAGATCTAGGCTGTATACCAGTGGAATATAGCAGTTATTCAGAGGCCCAGATAAGACTGCGTATCCGGGTAAAATACGCATAGAAAACATCCAGTTATGCATTGAAAAATAATTGTTGCGTACCAATTACGCATTTAAAATGTTAAATACGCAAAAAGTTTAAAACAAATGCGTATGAAATATATTTATAAAAATCGCTTGCGTAATGAAAAAGACATCGATTACTATCAAGTTGTACTGTTACTATAGGACAAGTGTTGTACTGTCAGTATAGGATGAGTGATTTTTTATGAAATCATTTCCATTATATTTAAGTTGGTTTTGATTAGGTATGACATAAGGCAGAACATACCTGCTAAGTAAACTTACTCATGGACGTAATACTTAGGTGAGTAAAATGACTGAAATATGCACATATTTTAAACAATGGGTAACGGAAAATGAAATACCCACTCAACATTCATAATACCCACTCCATAAAAATACAGTGGATACAGTACCCACATGAGCTAAATCTTATCTGGAGCTCTGGTTATTGCCCCACACCATTCTACCCCATTTGTAAAGCGTCTTTTTGGGTAATGAGAATGTTCAGTATGTTGCCTATCTCAATCTCCACAGAATCTTGTGGGTGTTGTGAAAAATGAGTTATCTCCCTTGTAGAAGTAGTGCCTGATAAGACACAATACTCTAGTACTCTAGTATTTAGGTACTAAAACATGTTTAGACAAGGACAAATTTAGAAACAGAATCCTTGATTTGTGTGAAATGATTGATAGCATTTGCTCAGTCACCTTGCCATGTATGCAAACATTTGTTTTAAGGTGATAATAATTTGTTTTTTCTTGCAGTCGTTTATTGGGAATAATAACTAAGAAGGATGTGCTTCGTCATATCGCACAGCTGGAGAATCAGGACCCAGAATCTATTCTCTTCAATTAAGCCAGACAGAGTTGTCTCCCCTTCATCATATCAACCTATGAATGAGTTCTCAGACACCTACAAGTGGCTGTGTGTTGCATGTTTCAAATAACAAGATGATGTGACCATAACCCCTCAGAAATTGTGCCCTTTATGATGAAACAAGGAGGAATTTTCAATGGAAGTCAGATCTGATTCACTTGTCAACATCACAAGACGTGTCACATTGCTGATGCGAAAATGTTCATCGCTTTAAGTGCTAACAAAATGTGGGTGAGATCTTCATCATTATTGTTTGCAAAGCCAAGTCATAATTTACATTGAAATAATCCTGAGTTTTGTCAAGGGCTACTCTTGTGGCAAACGTTGCATATTAAGTCATGCTTGCAGGATGCTGCATGTGTTGCCAAGTCCGTTAAACAACTATATTCTGTTGCTTAATGCTCAGATGCATGGTTGGAGTTCCTATTGCATTTTCACAGGATATCGGATGTACATTTTCTTCAAAGATTTCCGAGTGTACATGTGATATGTATGTATGCTGTTTTCTAGAGTGTGTTTGGTGTTATAGTTTACAGTCGACAGGAAAATAGGAATGTGGTATCCTGAGGAGAGAAAGTATTTTCTGATGAGGAAAGTCATGGTCTGCTTCTGATTGAGGAATATTTGTCCACACTGCAAAGGATTCACATCAAGGTGGTTGACATTCCTAATAAGGCTCTTCAGGAAGTACAGAACAGGCAGTTGTCTGCTCAACAGGAAGTCGTCTGCTCACCAAGAAGCTGTCTGCTTCACATCAAACCTGATTGAAGAAGGATCTCAAGCAAAACCATTGGGTTAAACTTTTGTTGGAAGTCATCACAAATGACAGAGTGTACTGAGTTTATGGATGATATTGATGACCATTGATGTCTGGTCTGCCATGGAAAACGAATAATCTCTTATGACTGTTGTTCCTTAATGGTAGTTGTTCAAATTTAGCTGATTTTGTTTGTATATGACTGGAGGCTTGTATCAAACCCAAATTGATGAATTTATTGAATGAATTCTGAAATTCCCTGAACCATGTTTATATATATGTCAGTGCTAATGGATGATGTGAGTGATGTTGTAGTGTTGATTGTTTAATATCTAGCCAGTTTGTTCTTAATCTATTAACAATGAATCTTCGGTATCTTATTCTCCAGATATGTATTTCGAGGCATTAACAACCATGAAGCCACCGTGAGATAGGCTATGAGCACAGCCATGTAGAGACCAAATACTTTCCCAAGGATTGGGGTTTGTTGCAACTGTCGTGAAAGGATAATCTTTTTATTTTGCTAACAATGATTTCATTTATGATGTCAGCACATGTATCATCAGTTGATCAAAGCTGCACTGCCTGTCACTGAACATTATCAAAGTTAGCTCATTCAGGTTTGTAGACAGTGTTTCAGGAGGAACTCTTTTTATGGATAGACAAGTTCTTTTTTGCAATAGATCAAGCATAACAGTGTTAGGATCTATACCGAGATATTGCATCTATTGCAGTCAAGAAATTGTCTATCCATAAAAAGTGTTCCTCTTCATCATACCAGCTTCTATATGCCACTTAAAGAAGTGTTCTTCGGGTTTGGATAAAGGTAAAAGCATTTCCCAGACTTGCCGATTTGGTTGACATATGTCATCGTATCACAGTTGTGTAGATGCTCATGATGTCAAGCACTGGATTGTTTGGTCCATTTCAGACCGCCGTCCTATAGCTTGAATATTGCTGAGTTCTGAATTGTTTCTCAGGCATCAGCGTGGCAGATCAGTCTGTTAATATCTTTGTTTAAAAGTGAATGTTTCTATTCCAGCATAGATTAATTTTTGACAAAATGATTCCATCTCTAGACATTTTAGAAAAGGTTTAAAAAGGTTAATAAAATGATGGTACGAAAACCGAAAATACCGATTTCTGGGATTGCATCACGGTATACCGAACCGAAGGCAAAATACCGCGGTTTTACTGATACCATGGTATACCGTTTCACCCCTATTTTCTACCGGTAAGTTAGAATTGATTTTGAAGGTTTATACAGGGATACTGCCTCATACATGTTTTCGCTTTATCAATGGCGATATACGATATCACTATTCATGAATGTATATCAAAATAAACACACTCAGATCTTGTTAATACTCAGACATTTTCAACTACGTATCCACACTAAGGCAAGAAAGATGAAATACGGTATTAGTTTCTTCAGGGTTTGTTGTTTAATGGAGATTTATAACATAGTTATTTTGCAATTTTCAGTGCACATTTTCTTTCTGTGAACATCCAAAATTCTCCAGGCAGGATGTAACAGTGTTGATCACTGAGTATTACTGTACACCTGGCTAGGTGAATACGACACATATTCACTGTGAATAATGTACCATGATGTTAATATTCAGTATTACATGTTGTTGTGTTTTGAACATATATATACATATTTACAACTAGGATTGTACTAGTGTCATTGTCATCCCGGTATGTGTTTCTCGGATACCACACCTGAATGGGTGAATATGTTGATATACTAACTAAACCTGAAGGGGTGAATATGTTGATATATTAACTAAACCTGAAGGGGTGAATATGTTGATATATTAACTAAACCTGAAGGGGTGAATATGTTGATATGTTAACTAAACCTGAAGGGGTGAATATGTTGATATATTAACTAAACCTGAAGGGGTGAATATGTTGATATATTAACTAAACCTGAGGGGTGAATATGTTGATATATGAACTAAACCTGAATGGGTGAATATGTTGATATACTAACTAAACCTGAATGCGTGAATATGTTGATATACTAACTAAACCTGAATGGGTGAATATGTTGATATATTAACTAAACCTGAGGGGTGAATATGTTGATATATTAACTAAACCTGAATGGGTGAATATGTTGATATATTAACTAAACCTGAAGGGGTGAATATGTTGATATATAAACTAAACCTGAAGGGGTGAATATGTTGATATATTAACTAAACCTGAAGGGGTGAATATGTTGATATACTAACTAAACCTGAATGGGTGAATATGTTGATATACTAACTAAACCTGAATGGGTGAATATGTTGATATACTAACTAAACCTGAATGGGTGAATATGTTGATATACTAACTAAACCTGAGGGGTGAATATGTTGATATATTAACTAAACCTGATTGGGTGAATATGTTGATATATGAACTAAACCTGAATGGGTGAATATGAACTAAACCTGAATGGGTGAATATGTTAATATATGAACTAAACCTGAATGGGTGAATATGTTGATATATTAACTAAACCTGAATGGGTGAATATGTTGATATATGAACTAAACCTGAATGGGTGAATATGAACTAAACCTGAATGGGTGAATATGTTAATATATTAACTAAACCTCAATGGGTGAATATGTTGATATATTAACTAAACCTGAATGGGTGAATATGTTGATATATTAACTAAACCTGAGGGGTGAATATGTTGATATATGAACTAAACCTGAATGGGTGAATATGAACTAAACCTGAATGGGTGAATATGTTAATGTATTAACTAAACCTCAATGGGTGAATATGTTGATATATTAACTAAACCTGAATGGGTGAATATGTTGATATATGAACTAAACCTGAAGGGGTGAATATGTTGATATACTAACTAAACCTGAATGGGTGAATATGTTGATATACTAACTAAACCTGAATGGGTGAATATGTTGATATACTAACTAAACCTGAATGGGTGAATATGTTGATATATTAAATAAACCTGAGGGGTGAATATGTTGATATACTAACTAAACCTGAAGGGGTGAATATGTTGATATATTAACTAAACCTGAAGGGGTGAATATGTTGATATGTTAACTAAACCTGAAGGGGTGAATATGTTGATATATTAACTAAACCTGAAGGGGTGAATATGTTGATATATTAACTAAACCTGAGGGGTGAATATGTTGATATATGAACTAAACCTGAATGGGTGAATATGTTGATATACTAACTAAACCTGAATGCGTGAATATGTTGATATACTAACTAAACCTGAATGGGTGAATATGTTGATATATTAACTAAACCTGAGGGGTGAATATGTTGATATATTAACTAAACCTGAATGGGTGAATATGTTGATATATTAACTAAACCTGAAGGGGTGAATATGTTGATATATAAACTAAACCTGAAGGGGTGAATATGTTGATATATTAACTAAACCTGAAGGGGTGAATATGTTGATATACTAACTAAACCTGAATGGGTGAATATGTTGATATACTAACTAAACCTGAATGGGTGAATATGTTGATATACTAACTAAACCTGAATGGGTGAATATGTTGATATACTAACTAAACCTGAGGGGTGAATATGTTGATATATTAACTAAACCTGATTGGGTGAATATGTTGATATATGAACTAAACCTGAATGGGTGAATATGAACTAAACCTGAATGGGTGAATATGTTAATATATGAACTAAACCTGAATGGGTGAATATGTTGATATATTAACTAAACCTGAATGGGTGAATATGTTGATATATGAACTAAACCTGAATGGGTGAATATGAACTAAACCTGAATGGGTGAATATGTTAATATATTAACTAAACCTCAATGGGTGAATATGTTGATATATTAACTAAACCTGAATGGGTGAATATGTTGATATATTAACTAAACCTGAGGGGTGAATATGTTGATATATGAACTAAACCTGAATGGGTGAATATGAACTAAACCTGAATGGGTGAATATGTTAATGTATTAACTAAACCTCAATGGGTGAATATGTTGATATATTAACTAAACCTGAATGGGTGAATATGTTGATATATGAACTAAACCTGAAGGGGTGAATATGTTGATATACTAACTAAACCTGAATGGGTGAATATGTTGATATACTAACTAAACCTGAATGGGTGAATATGTTGATATACTAACTAAACCTGAATGGGTGAATATGTTGATATATTAACTAAACCTGAGGGGTGAATATGTTGATATATTAACTAAACCTGAATGGGTGAATATGTTGATATATGAACTAAACCTGAATGGGTGAATATGAACTAAACCTGAATGGGTGAATATGTTAATATATTAACTAAACCTGAATGGGTGAATATGTTGATATATTAACTAAACCTGAGGGGTGAATATGTTGATATATTAACTAGGTTAGATTATTCCCACATTGTTTGTTTATGGCTTGGACACTTACTTCATGTTTTCATGTGGTAGAAGTTTGTTTTTGGTGATTTTATGTGAACAGATTCACCGTTCATATCAGAAGAAACCCCAAATGGAAGTACCTAAACTAGAAAAGATTTGTTCTATTACCAGAAATTGAGTAGTTAAACTAAATTTTTATCTGTATATAATCACTAAGTGTATGAAAATGAAAGTATGTTATTTGAAATAATATGATAAACTAGGAGGGGAGATAACTGGTGGTAATTTTGTGTCAGATATATGTTTCTCTCAAATGTTATGTTACTCGGTTATTCACAAGACAATTGATAAAATAGACTGTTGTAACTTTTTCCAGCAAAAAAGCAATCAGGGATTTATCTAAACCTGCTCAAAGACCTATAGTTCAGCTCCTAATTTGCACAAAGATGTAATTAAAGAATTGCGAATCAGAATTAAGAATTTGAAATTGACATGATAGTTGTAACTGGTGTTATGGCTTTGTAGAAGTCACTGTTGGCAGGACCACGAATAAATGATTTAATTATTGGCTTCAGTGCCATTTTAAATTAGTAATTAAATACCTCTTAGTTTGGGAAATCTTAACTCACTCACACATTTAGTTTGGCAAACTAATAACTATAAAATCTACCAGTTTTAAATAATGTAACAATTTTTTTCCCAAAGTCTTTGATAAATCCTTGGCCAAAGCACTCATACCTCATCTACTCTCAAACTTGCACATACACACACACACACACACACACACACACACACACACACACAAATACACGTTCACACAAGAATATCAATTTATTAGCACCTGATAATCAAACATAAAATAATATATATCTCATGCGACCTTGCTTAGCTATGTTAGTGTACAGGTATGTGTTGAATTGCACTTGTTCCAAAGAGCATATTAGTAATTGACATGGTTGCCATGGATACTTGATGCATGTTCTCTAAATGTAACAAATATTGTACAGATGACACATTGTCTATGTATATGGTATCGTATTTATTGGTTATGAGTTCTGTGTGTCTCCCAGGCTTGATCTCAAACAAGCTTCTTTTTCTGCAACCCAATGAAACGTGGCCCACACTCTACCGCAAAACAGGATGGAGCCATGCATCTGAATTTTGCTTCAGCATCTACGTGTCTGCCTTGGACCCTCATCCTGGTGTTTCCAGGATTCACTTTCAGTAAACCTACACTAATCCTTGATCCTTTCCCTTTCTTTGGATCTCAAATTACCCATCCTTTGTTTCTTTAGCATTTTACCAACCGATCAAATGTTGAAATGAGGAAATAGGTAAGGGAGGTAACATGTTTTGCCTATGAACAAAAGCATCCACCTTTTTTAAGAGACAAGCTTTCCATTACAAATATTTTTAGGCCTTCTTTTTCGTGTCTTTGAATTTCTCGCAAACTCTGTTGTAATCAATGGGACAACCATGTTTTTGATATCACCAACGCTCCATTGATTTGCATTTTGATTGGTTCATTAGACTTAGTATACTAGCAAATCAAATTGGCTGATGAAAATCAAGGGCAGGTAATTCTAGATCACAAGAACCGCACGACTGGATCAGGGGTTAGCGACAATTTATGAAAATGCTACCCTTGAGATGAAAAGGATTACGGCCCCTGTATAGCTGTTTATGACAAACTTGTTCTTCTGTATACGGTCAGACTCCATGTAGGGATTTATCTAGGCCTGTTCAAAGGCTGGAGAACAAATATTAGGAAATATTCTCAGATGTAATTACAAATTTCCAGCTTCATGTTTACAGCTGTAACAAATGTTATAGTTTAATTGAGGTGATGTGTATTTCAATGATGACTTAACCAATAAAGCGTAAGATAATTCTTAATATTCCTTAACGTTGAAATAGCCCTGAAATTAGGAAAATACAAACTTTAAATACCCGGTAAATGCCATT